TTGTTAAAATTTTGAAAGTTTAAAAAAAAAATAAAAAAAAAAAAAAAAAAAAAGGTTGAATTCAATCTTGAGACTCCATGCCATCCGTTTATTGCGAGGGAGGTAAATTGCGGGACGTATCCAAACAGGCTAGGAACAAATACAAGAGTTGTCTGTATACTGTGCCTACAAGAATTTCAATTCTATATTTTAGGAATTAAACCTCCACATTGCAGATGCCAGCAAAACTTAGAAAACTTCACTCCTGTCCTTTGCACCACTAGACTACGTCCCGGGCGTGATACGAATATATTTGTCCGACACAGAAGCTTTCTTGAGTCCTTGACACAGAAAAGCTCTTAAATGGGTTTTTGACACGTGGAAAATACATTGGGTTAAGAAGTCTTGATTTTTTTTCTTTTTTTTTTTTTTTTCCTCCTGCCATCAATAATGAGAGTTGAAGACTATAATAATGCATTGCATATTGCCGTGTTTGCGATAGAGGTGTAAATTAGGCAAAGTGCCTTGCTTGATCGCTAGGGGCACAATCTTTATCCTTAAGCAAATTCTTCAAAAAAAAAAAAAAAACCGAAATTTTTTTTTTTTTTTTTTTTTTTTTTTTGGGGCATAACATATTTCAAACTCTACTTCTAGCCACCGGGTGCCATTATCTATTATAGATGCCTAACTAGCTGGCTATCTTGATTTGCTCTCTACCACCTTGACTACAATAAATTTTCTTCTTTTTTTTTCTCCCATGAACCATTCTAAGTGGTATGATTTATTACTGATAAATCGAAAAGAATAATTTTTATACTCGTGAATGGAAGTTAATTACTTTCCATTTATTTCTATACTTTTATTGTTTTGGTAACGGCAGGAACACCTAACCATATGGGGCTGGATGCTTTGATGAATATGTTGGGTGGACTCGGGATGGGTAATTTTACAGCTCCAAGCACTCCCTCAGGTTTCAATGCTCCGCCTTGGTATTTAACCTAAGAGTATCTTTGTTCTTTCAGCCGTACGGAATATGTTAATCATGTCTATTTCTGTAGTGCCCCCAGAAGAGCTGTATGCAACTCAACTATCACAACTTCAAGAGATGGGTTTCTTCGACACCGAAGAGAACATCAGAGCTCTGCGTGCTACTTCAGGAAATGTTCATGCAGCTGTGGAACGACTTCTGGGGAACTCTGGAGTGTAATTTTTTTGGGAGACACGGGGAGGCATCTGTAAAATTGATAGTCGAAACCCTTTCCCTTTAGTTTCTCAATACAAGATGGAGCTTCTCTATGTAGGCCAAAAGAATAAGCATGCGCGCGCACACACACTTCTCTATAGTGAGAGCTGCCTGTGAAGTTTAAAGGTTTCTTTACTACGTAGTATAGACGCTTACAAGTTACAAGCCTTTATCTTTGCCTCTCTATGTACATTTTGAAACCATTATTTGCAATTTCAGTGTTCGAAATTATTTCAGCCTTTATATTGTAGGTTAAGAATTGTCGTTTTCACAATGGGTTTTGCTAGGCTATGTCGCTCCAGGGGATGCCACATGCGCGAATGGCAAAACCTTTTCACAATTGAGATGACATTTCGAGGCTTGATATTTGGTACCTCACTTCTCGTCCAAGAAAATATATTAAGCCCATGTTTAGTGGAAAATTTTAATAAAAGTTAATGAAATGTTTGGTTGAAAAGTTGCGGATCCTATGACATATATGGTTAAAATTAATTATCGATTTTAACTTAGATTAAAATATAGATTTTAATCCCTACCGAACATAATATGTGAAAAATACGAGTTTTGCTCAAGTAATGCAATATATCATCCAATTATGTGTCACGTGAAGATCAAGGACATGCGTGCTTTTACGTTAAATAATGGATGGAAAATTAACGGAGCGATATAAGGGAAAGAATTTCGAAAGTACGACGACAAATTTGGGACGAGATTAAGTTTGATGACCAAAATGAAGTTTTGTGCAAAGTTCAGTGACTGTTAGATAACTTTCCCGCCAAGAAAGTTGAAGCTGTTGCTTACTCACAGATCCCACCCCCCGCATTTTACGCCCAAGAAAACGTATCCCACTCCCACCTCGAATCACCTTCTTCAAATACATAGAATTACCCAAAAAAATACGTTTGATTTTCTCAGATGAAAGTATGGATACGGATAGAATTTCATAACTGAAAAAAACTACCCTCTCTCACTACAATGGAAACCGCTCACACTACATAAGAGAACCCTAGCACATTTCTTACACTTTTTTCCTCAAGTCTTTTCTCTTACAGAAACCCACAAAGAGATGAACGTCAACAGCTACGTTAGTTCTTCATATTTTCACCCATTAATGTCGTTTACTGGTCAAGAAACTTTCCCTAGGATCGAGTCCAGCGGTTTCCACACTTTTAACCGCCATCAAAATCCCAGAAAGAAGCGCACTAAGTTTATCAAAGTAGACAATTCTCTCGGCGGCTCCAGTTCCACCGGCGTCACGAAGCCTAAATGTTTGAAGAAACCAGACCCAAGTGCTCCCAAGATCACAAGGCCGTGCAGTGAGTGCGGCAAGAAGTTCTGGTCATGGAAAGCACTATTCGGGCACATGCGGTGTCACCCTGAGCGCCAGTGGAGAGGAATTAACCCACCGCCTAATATCCGGCGGTTAGAAACCACCGCCACCGCTGTGAGCACTGATCGTGAAGGCACTGCCTCCGGTGTGACGGAGGAGGATCATGAGGTGGCTACTTGCTTACTAATGTTGGCTAATGGGTGTAGTGCTAGTGCTTCTGAGTCACCATCTGTGACTAATGTTTGTAGTACTGGAATGTTAGAATCTGATAGTGGTGGTGGTGGTGGTGTTGTTGGGGTTGAGAATTTTCGATTCGAATGCTCGAGTTGCAAGAAAGTGTTTGGGTCTCACCAGGCATTAGGAGGTCACAGAGCAAGTCACAAGAATGTCAAAGGTTGTTATGCAATTAACAAGAATCCCGAAATTGGAGAGGAAGAAGAACAAGAACGAGACTGGATTAACAGTGGTGGCCATGTTGAACATCAACTAATGGATGATATAGGACACAAATGCAGCATTTGTTTAAGGGTTTTTTCAACAGGTCAAGCCCTAGGTGGACACAAAAGGTGCCATTGGGAGAAAGTATCAGAAGAAGCATGGTTCAAAGAGGCTAATTCTGGTTTGGATTTGAATTTGCCTGCTTCAGCACCGGCCCCGGCGCGGGACCGAGTACCGGTTCACGAAGATGATTTATCTTCATCTGCTTCATTTTACTTTTCAGGTCTGGAATTGGATTTAAGGTTAGGACTTTGAGGACAATATATCAAGTCCTTAGCTAACTAGGGTTTAGTGGTATTATTTTGTAGGATTTAGAGAATTAACAGAATTGTGTATATGTGGTGGTGCTCCCCAATATTGCAGTGAATATTGGAAGATTAGACACACAATACATATATACTTGTCACTACATCACTTCTAGCTTAAGCAATGAACAAAACGAGTTTATCCCATGTGTAAATTGATTCTTTAATTAATATCATCTTCATATAAATGAAGCATTTAGCAACTTTTCTAAAGGGTCTGGTACAAGAGAGAATGTAAAATGACATCTTTAAAATAATTTTACATCGAATAAGATTATTTTTTATGTCCTGAATTCTTTCCACCAATCGCATCTCCATGGCTGCTCGAGAGTCTTTTGAGCAACAGCCGAGAGAAGAATGGGGGGTTGGGAGACGAAAGAGGATGAAAAGTATGGGTTAAAGAAAAGATAAGTAACGAAAATGACTACTTTAATAAGCTCAGACGTATTATTCAATTATTCATAAGTCAATTGTATTTGTATCTATTATAAATTATAAATTGAGAGCATGTCTAATTATAATTTTAATCAGATTTTTAAAAAAAAATTGATATTTTAAAAAAATTTAATTGAAATATTAAGATATGCCAACCCATCATTGATATAATAAACGTTCAATCTCAAGCACAAGTAAATTTGAGTTTTCGCCTTTGAGTAAGCACCAAAAATGACCATTCTGCCCCTCGTTGCTTTTCGCCATACTCGACCTGATTTATTTACTTGCACGATCATAATGAAGGGGCATATCGATCATTACGACAACTATTGATTGCTGAGGCGATGGACAAGAAATCAATATTTTCATCATTGCTTAAATTGTTTCTTTCCGATCCACACATTGGAACTAAAGAACCCACTTTTTGCTAATGACCCGTGCTAGACAGGCGCAGAATGAATTTCTTGATTTAACTCGAATATTTTCGGTAACAAGAGCTGAACTTAATCAACACGTATTAACATAAAATTGCAAGTAACAAGAACCATTTATCAAGCCATTCACTTCCAAATTAAGAGTAGAATGTTTCTGTTCCAAGTTACTATTACACAGGGCCTTACATATCCATATATTCATAAACAACTCCAAGCAACAAGGGACAAAACTGTACCTGAACCTTCAATAAACATTAGCAATAGACCGTGAATTGCCCCCTAATCGAAGGTACACACATGGCCTCTCCGAGCAGCCACGTATCCAAGAATACATCCACCAATATAATCAAGATGGGTCATATGCAACCCGAACCATAGCCTGTGAGATTGTGATGTTAAGCCATTAGCTCATTAAGAAAACCGTAAAACAGAGAATGAAGAGTTTTCCGTATTGAGTTCTTCCTTGTGTAGGCAATTACTGCTGCTCTGTTTGGTTTGCTTTAACAGCTGCAGGACTCCTGCCAAACTGGATGACAATAGGCTTGCCTTTAAATACATAACCATTTACTGCATTCTGCAGTTGATCATTATGTAAATATATCATAAATACATTTTAGAAAGTTTAAGCACGTGACTAAAAATAAGCTACACCAGTACTAAAGGATAATACACAACATCAACATTCTAAAAACTCCAAAAGGAAAGGAAAATAATATCTTAAGAGTGCATCGCGGGAAAACATACCAAAGCTTTGTGAGCAAGTTCAACTGATGGGAATGTAACAAAAGCTTGGCCCCTCATTCTCCCCTCCTACAGTGAAAATCAGTACAGTAATTTACTGGCAAGTATGTCACAACTGTTGAAAGAATATTTTGGATACATGGTGAATCCGGCAGGTGTTTTGGACAATTCTCAAAAGTAAAATCTAGTTCGTCTATTTCATTTGAATATATATTATGAATCATGAGGTGGGGGACTTCTAATCATGCACTGTATAGCTCAGTGATCAGAACATACTAATATTTGGTCTACATTTACACAGCATTCCGGCACTAATTAATTCGTGCATAAAATATATATAGAGAAATGTTTTTAAGATGATATAATTTTATAGTGTAAAAGAGCAACTAGAAAATTAAGAAATCCAACCTGCATTAACTTCACATTGAGATTGGATTTGGATACATCAATGCTCCCAAAAAATGATCCTGTAGAAAGTCATAAGATAAAGAAAAGTCTTTGCAATGAACAAGGAGTGAAAATTTGACTCACCAAATATATAATAGAAGTCATCTACAACAACATCCTTTGCCAAGTTCTTTACGTACAAAACAGAAGCAGGATTTCCAGCAGTATAATTCTGCACATAAATAAGCAGGTTAGAAAATAAAATGAAGTCAAATTCGAAAGATAGAAACATCATATATACACTCAGATGATCCACCATCCACAGATTACTACTTTCAGAGTCTGAAAACATAAAAGTGCCAGAAATTAATGATGGATTCTACTTGCAACTAACAACAAGAGCATTTCTCAATTTCAAATTGTCAACAAAAATATTGATAGAAAACTACATAAGTCATGGAATTTATATTATAATCTATACATGAAAATTGTACACGCCATTTTTGTTAAACTATAATGTTTTTCCTCGTCTCATGGACGATATACATATCAATGAGATTGAATAAGATTATGGACTGTTGAAGATTACGTCGAAGATTACAATTGACGTTTATATTACCATTAAAACTGTATCATATATAGATAAATTGCTTTTACCATATTTAATTTAATTTTGGTTCTATATAATGAGAGAACCTCTCACATTGAGGGCATCGGGTCTTATTGAGTATCATTGGGTATATCTGACAATACAAATAATAAATCCTACATTATCTTGAAGCTCTACTTTCCACAACAGGTTATACGATCCTACACAATTTAACGAGAACTTCCTTGTCAAATACAAATGCAAACTCATAAAAGAACTTAATGTCTAGTAAAGTAGTAGACACAATTTCATATTCATGTTGCCAATTGAGCAAAACATTGTTTTATAAGTATAAAAATATAAACAAACTATATTGGATAGTGCATACATATGTTGGGATCTTTGCTGAAATAATTGACACCACAAAGAAATGAGTTTGATACCTTAAACATTGGAAGTGATAAAAGTTCTTCCGGAGGCAACTTTCCAAGATTTAGTTCCTCTAGGGTTGCATAAGGTTTATAATCACCCATCTCTTTGTCTGGCTCTGGCGATTCCATTGTGGAACCAGCATCCTTTGATTCAGTTTGAACCTGTTTGGGGACTATTTTTATCTGCAAACACATTCAAAACCAATAACATTATATCCTTTCAAAAGGAAAAGATAATCTTACCAAATCTCTCAAAGTTTGAAGTTGACACCTGCAATACAGGGTTCTTCTTTTTTACTACTGGTTTTTCTTTTGGAATTAAGGTGGCTGGTTTCAGTCCAACAGCTTCATGAGCCACATCCTTGTCAACTGCAGGACCTAAAATAGCTTGTCGCTTGACGCGCTTCCTTTTAGATCCAACCTCTCCTTGTACTTCCTAAACATCGGTGCATTACAAAGCCGGGATCTACTCAGTAATTTTCTATATGAGAGATTCATCACAAATTTAAAAGAATATATAAAAGCTGAATGATAAATAAAGGCAACAAAAATGAAAAGGAGACAGAAACCCAGGAAATCAACAAGACATCAGTGGATGCAAAATCATTAACTTACATTTAAAGGTTAAAAGACAAAACATTCTCTAATAGACCAAATCAAGAAGATATGGCAAGAAACTATACAATACGGCCCTCAGGATTGCCAAAGGAGACTTAAAAGGAAAATCAGATATCTATTGCATAAAAAGCTCAGGAATCTACCAGAATATCAAATGTATCAAATAATTGAAGGTCCAAAGAACTGAAAGAAGTATGGAACACCATAAAGCAAGAACCACGCCAAAAAAATCAGTCATTTAAGGCACAAAGAAAAATGTGTACTTAAGAGAGCTGTAATAAGTCAAATTTGTGGTTGCACAAGGACATTTGTTGCTATCATGTAAAGGTAGATTTTCTGTCCGAGCCAACTAGTCACTGGGCCCATGTTGATCCCTGTCATCAGGGTTTCCCTAGAATCATTTAACCTTTTCCCGACATATATAAACACATGAAGTGGTAAAACAAAATGCAAGCTTAAGTTCCCAACATAGAGGACATCATGATTATTGGGAAGGAAACCTATTAGTAACAGTACACCCATCCTAGAGGGCAACCTTCAAGTGAAGGTAATGAAGACTCTTAGAACAATTAAAACGCATATGGAATTTTCATTCGTGCATTTTCGCTTGTAAAATGCATCTTTAGCACAAGAATTCTGGTTTTGCATCGAATAAATCTAGTGAATGAATTTAAATGCAATGGCCAAAGGATGACCTCATCATCTGAAGACTCCATTTCTGACTCGCTACTTGATTGTTCTTCCATGTCAATCTTTGTAGCTAATGAAGGAGGTGGAGATGTGGGAGGAGGAGGTGGAACTGGCTCTGATGCTGGCAGAGGTGGAGTGGGCAATGCCGCATGAAATGGAGCTGGAATATTCATTTTGTTCATCAAGTGCAAAACCTACATCCATGAATGAATGAATGAAAGGAAATCAATGGAATAGTGTCATACACATCTGGCCATGATGCAGGAGAATTAAGTTCAAAATATTAAAAAACCAAGTGTTCTAGACAACATGTGACCTGTGTATAGAAGCGAGGAACGGCAATAAGAGCATTTACAATGTTGGTCAAAATATTTCCATCAGGTGGGGGGTACGCATATCTGTTTTGAAGCAGGTTACTGAGTGAGAGAATACTATAAAGATCCACTGAAAGGACTGGTACAAGTTTCGTTTTCGTGTTAGCAGTCAAACATTGCAGAACTTGCATATGGGAGAAATATTTTGCATAAAAAGGGAGTTCATCATAGATGGACAATAAACTACTGTAAGAAAATGACAGACTAAAAAACAACAATAATCAAAGAACTGCCTAAAAGTGCAGAAAGTGAAACATACTCAAGGTGAGGAGGAAATGGATACTCCACACCAAGTTTTTGTGAAATGGGTTCTCTAGCATGAACGGAATCCCTTCTAGAACTGTCATTGAGATCTATCACAAAGGAAGAATTGTTTGTCAAAACAACGTCCTTCCTTGTTTGAGGTTCTCTTTCTTGATGCTTCCTGTCCTCAACTAATTCTCTGGCTCTCTCGACTGACAAAACTTTGCCAAGAAATTTTAACCTAACATAACATGTTTTCATTTAGAAAATCATGATACAGGGCTTTAGTAGAGATAACACCGTATTTGTATTTGTACAAGGAATGGCAGGGTAACAAAAGATCGTGTAGAAAGACAAACCCATGTAACTGTTTTTGAACTTGAGAAGCCAAAGCTTCGTTCTTAAAATCAACGAATGCACAATTTCTCGCTCTGCATAAAAGCCAAAATAGAAAAATCACACACAGCATCACAAATCTGTTCAGCTAAGAACACAACATTTCAAAGCAGGAAACCAAATTAACTATGACTACCTTCCGTAAGTGCAGTGGCGGACAGAAGAGGCGCCATAGTGAGAGAAGAGTCTGGAGAGGGTATCATGTGGAATTGCCTCCGGGAGATGTCGTACCAAGAGTGTAATTGATGATTCTTGTGGCACTGTTTCATGAATCCCTAAATGATGGACTGGTTTTCGAGATGGAGGGGCCTCTGTCATGATTGCGGCTTGCAATCACCAAATGCAAGGGCACAGAAATCGGCGTGAGGCGGTGGAATTGGGATGATTTAACTGCAACAAAATTTTCTGATTACGGCATTGCAAGATGTGAACTGAGGTATGGCTTTTTCTTTCTTTAGTTTTCTCTCTTTCTATTTGTTTATTTTTTATTGAACTCTTTTTTGGTATAAGTTAACCACACTAGATGGTACATTTTATTAAAATAAAATTAAAATTAAAAAATGGTACAATAGGAGGAGGACTAGGCATAAAAAAAATGCAACGATTTAAAGGCATGGTGCTAGAGTATAATTTAGGCCCCGTTTGATTCTCATTTTTTTAAGAATGAGAATGAAAAATACAACCGTTACGGACCCATATAAAAGATAGAAAGTCAAATATGATGACTAGATGTGATGAATAATGGTCATATTTTTCATTTTTGTGGTCAAAGAATGAGAATCAAATAGGAACTCAAAGGACGCTATAATTTAGAAAATAAAGAATGAATATATAGTTTTTCCTATCTACGCAAGTTGATTATGTATTATTCCAACTTCTAGAAGCTTATTATTCTAAATTTTAGAAAATTTTGTAGGATCTATTTCAAATATACACAAGAACACCATTCCACTTAACGCATAAAAATGAAACAGAAAATACATCAAAATATGTGCCAATTAAACACTGGGAAATGAAATAAAATATAAGGATAAGACAATTAAACAGCAAAGATCATACTAAACCAAAATCTATCAGAAAGATATAAGCAAAGTGTTGTTGCAATGGCATTTCTAAAGAAAATAACTGATAGGCTCCAATCCACCTCACTCATTCTAGGACCCAAAAGAGAAATAATCTGTAAGTGGATGGAAAACTAAAGTCTGTTAAAAATGGAAATTAGTTAGGAAAGTCTGTTAGAAGTATGCTATAAATATAGGTAGAGGATAGCCCTATAGGCAGGCAGAAATTGGGTAGCTCCTGGGGAGAGCAATGGACCTCTCGAATGTCCTTTTATCATTTTCATTCCTGTCATTTACAATTCAGTAGAGTACAATAGTGTTACCGTTATTCTGTCATTTGCATTCTATATAGAAAACCTTCAATTACAGACATCAATTCAACTATTGCTTAGTTTATAATCTATTTTCATCTTATTTCATTCCTTGGTATCTTTGATTCGGTGTGTTGGCAGGAGTTATCAACAGGTTCTTATCAAAATGGTATCAGAGCACTATCCTGGAGATAACATATGGGACAATACGTCTAATGAAGAAAAGGAATTAGAAGATTGGGTTAGTAATTTGGAATTGAAGATTGAAAAAATGAATTCAGAAATAAGAGAGGGAATAGGAGCCATGAAATTTGAGTTCTACAGAAGTTTGGCAATAATGATAGAGAGGCTCGATTTGATGATGAAGAAATGGGACGTGCAGGAGAGAGAGAAGAAGGATAAAAGAGTTTCATCTACTTCACCGGAGCCAACTTTGCAATCTGACGCTCCACTCAAAGGCTTAGAAGTTGGGAGGAGTATAGAGGAACGTCTACACAGGGAGGGGATTGCGCGACTGGAAAATCGAGGTCACCAACTGGAGATTCTGGGGTCGAAAGATTGGGAGAACTCGTTACTAGATCACCTTCCGCCGTCACAGGTAGGAACTAGTATGGGAAAAGCCTCGGTGCTAATGCAGGAAGGAACAGCTACAAATCGCCAGTGGAATTTTAACGTTTTGGCAACCCTTTTGTCGGTGTTTTCTGAAGCCATCAAGAGGAAGAGGCTAAAACCTCAAAATCTGGACCAAAATATGGAGCTAGCCCAATGGGTTCATGATAGTAGTAAATCTTTGAAAAAAGTCCAAGCTATCTCAGGCCCATATAGATATAAAAATAATGTTTATAGCCCTATTATTCCCAATCATTCAAGCCCAAATTTAAATCTCAACTCTCGCGCTTTGGCTCACGAGCTGCCTCGTTTACATCCTTAGTTAAATTTCTTCGATGACTTCTAGGAAGGAGGTGGTGTAAATAATGGTATTTTTAAGATAAAAATTAGTACATACTAAATAATTTAGTTAATATAGCATGACACAATGTATTTGACTAAGCTTATCAAGATTATTTTTTTTTTTTTTTTTACTACAAATAAGAAAGAAATTAACATTTCTAGCAATTTTGAATACAAAGATTTAAACCATCACATGTCGCCCAATCAAAAACTAGGGGAATTGAATATTGAAGCCGTGAAGAGCAACTGGAAAAGAAGCTAACAAGTAAATTAGTAAAATCTTCGGCCCACGTTTTTAAATTTCAAACTCTAATTTTCTAGATTTGGAAATTATGACGATGATTTTCTGGTTAAGTGTGGTGGAGGTGATTAGGGATGATGATGATTTTTTGCAGGGAATGAAGGACAGTGGAAATTTGGAATCAATTATGTTATTGATAAGAACCTGTTGATAACTCCAACTAACACACCAAATCAAAGATGCCAAGGAATAAAATAAGATGAAAATAGAAGATAAGCTCAGCATTAGTTGAATTGATGTCTGTAATTGAAGGTTTTCTATATAGAATGCAAATGACAGAATAACACTAACACTATTGTACTCTGCTGAATTGTAGAGGACAATAGTGTTAGTGTTATTTTTTTCTCATCTTGGCCCAAGTCGAGCCGAGTCAAAGCTCAATTACAAAATCAAGTCTTGACTCAAGCCTTATCGAGCTAAGCCGAGCTAGCTTCATTTTTTTCCTGGCCTGTGACACTGACCATTTTAGCCTGCCAGACAGGCCGACTCATCTGTCTTGGGCTCGGGCCGTCTTCCCGAAAATGAGGATCGGCCCGACTGTAGGCTCGGTTTCACTAAGTAGTGAGCCAAGTGAGCTCGAACTTTTTATGGACCAAGCCGCAGGCCATCCAAGTCGACGAGCCTAATTGACATCCTAAATTTAACATATTAACATTGTGTTCTAATTTGATGATTATATTGTCTCAAGACCTTGTTTAAGTGCATTTTGATAAGACTACTACCACAAGAAAATCTGTCAGCACTTGCACAGTTGAAGCTACCAGGTATTTGTTTGATCTGGCATTGCTCAAGGTATAGTGCTGCTTAAAGCGTACAAATATCTCCCACAGAATTCTAAAAGTAGCCCATCCTTATTGCCTATCATCATTCCCACCCCTCAGCAGCCAATCCTTAATACCTATCATCAATCCTCACCCCTCAGCAGCCTATCCTTAATACCTATCATCAATCCTCACCCAAAAAATAAAAAAAAAAAGGGAATTCATTAGTAGATTCAATGACGAATCTAGGACCGGAGGTTAGCTAGGGACGACATTGACTATCAACTATCACAATTTTATTAATATTTAATTAAATAATATTAAAAATTATTCAACATATATGTAAATGTACTAAAGCGTAAAAATCTATACATATGAAAATATAATTTAATACAGCCCAAAATAAATGATACAGCCTTATTCTGTAACTGTAAACTTAGACAACTGTACCTTTTGTTCCGGTTGACAAAATCGTTCCATAATCTATAAAATGCCTCAATTTATTTTTCAATTAAAATTGATAAAAACAGAGTACAAATGGTTGAATTGAGCCCAACATCTTCCACATTAATTTTTTCACTTATCCCTAATTCCTAAACCTAAATTCCAAACTTATAAATGATAAATTATAGCTCATTCAAAATAAATTATTATCATAAATCACAATTTCACCATTCTCATTTCTTTGTCAATTAAATTAACTCATAAGTCATAAAACATGATACATGAATCATAAATCCATAAAACATAAATAATAACTCATAAAACCGAATAATAAATAAAATATTAATCATAAATTCATTATTCATAATCATAACTCACATAACACAGAACAAAAATTATAAAATAAATAAATAAATAAATAAATTAGAGAACGACAGTCAGGAAAAAGACGCTCACCACAACAGCCACAGCCCACAGGAGGTTCGACTTCGTCGTCACAGACTCAGCAGCTTCGAAATCGAGTCAGGAGGTGGAGAAATGGAGAGAATGACCACGGCGTACTGCTTCTGCTCGTCTGCTTCAATTCATTTGCATTTTGGTCATTTGGTTTGGATTGGGGCAAGTCATTGGGCCTATTTTTTTAAAAGGCCCATCCCTCTTCAGCCCAAACAATAAAAAAAAAATTTTATAAGTAAGAGATTAAATATGGTATTTTTAAAAATTAAGAAAACAAGTTTTAAATTTCGAAAATCGGATTTTTATTAAAATTAATTAATTATTTATTTATATATTTTTTAAAAGGCCCATCCCTCTTCAACCCAAACAATAACCAACAAAAAAAAAAGGAAAATTTCATAAGTAAGAGATTAAATATGACATATTTCAAAATTAAAAAATAAGTTTTAAATTTCAAAAATCGGATTTTTATTATAATTAATTATTTATTTATTTTATTAATTAAATATATTTAGGTCACAGATCTATAAATTTTGGTTACAAATAAACAATTTAATTAGTCATTTATTATTTTTTGTCACAAATTAGAAATTTTATGTCACAAATTATTTTACGATCAAAATTCAAAAAAATTGTAGGTCAACATTTGTTCATTGGTCGCAAATCAGAAAATTATTTAGTCACGGATAAATTTTTAGTCATAACTTATTTTTGGATCACAAATCAAAAATTTCATAAGTCACCTATTATTTTTCGGTCACCAATAAAATTTTTTATAAGTCACATTATTTTTCGATCACGAATAAAATTTTTTACAAGTCACTGACTATTCATTGGTCAGAGAATCAAATTTTTTATTGGTCACAATTCATTTATCATTGCAAATTATTAGATTAATTAGTCATGATTAATTTTTTGGTCACAATTTAATCAATTGAGCCACATTCACAATTTTTAAGTTACATATTACAAATCAACCAATTATTAGTCATAATCAACTAAATAATTGGTCACAAACATCCAACCCAATCTCATGACCACCGCCGTGACCACCACAACCGCCATCACTATCACCGTTACCACCACCAGATCATGTAAAACCACAACCGCCGTCCAAACACCAATAAATTGTCAACCACCACTGCCAGATTCACTGTGCCAGGCAGCACCGCCACCATCTCAAACAAATTTACACGTCACAGGAAACTACCACCACATTCGAGATCCACCACAACCTCACCAGACCCATCTCCACCATCATTGCTGCTGCACACCACAGAGCGCAATCACCTGAGGCCATTACTACCACTACCGTCGCATAAATCAACAATCACCACAACCACCTCATCAAGTCCACCATTTCCTTCGTCTATGTCACAAGCGATTTGCAGCAAGCGCTCACAGAGGTCGATCGTAACAGCGCTATACATGGAAGCACCGATGAACGAAGGGATTATCGGCATCGGAGATGATGATGGAAGTGGTTGATTGGGGTCATCTCGCTATGCGCGATGCTCTTCTTTCAACGCATCGTCACCGTAAAGTGAGAGGCCTGTAATGGCGGTGGCAGTGTCATGCTACTTCGTTCAGCTCCACTCCAGCGGGTCACTTTTCTGCAAAGAGATACGCAACGATATACAGAGAGAGAGAGAGAGAGAGAGAGAGAGAGAGAGAGGGGTTTCAAAGATATAAATTAGGGTTTGTATATAATAATTAATATTTAAAATATATTAATAAATTAATGAATTAAAAAAATATCTAATATTTGAAATAGTAAACTTCACCTATGATTTATGAATTGAGATCTCTAAATCTATTAGTTTGTGTAATTTCCACAAAAAAAAAAATAAAAAAAAATAGGCCCAACCCAACTGGAAGCAATGCAGTCATATCTTCTTCCTTCATCTCTTTTCTTCCACCGCCGCTGCAACTGGCGCCTGGCCAACGGCAATTGAAAGTTTCGGTGGAACCCAACACGCACGGCCACACACCCTCGCTGAGTGTGGTAGATGTAAAATAATAACGGAACATGAAAAAAAATCTGGCAAAAAATTAAAGAAAGAGTTTCCCCAAAGGCGCAAAAAAAAAAGTGGCGAACAGTGATGCGAATTTACCTCAAAAATGGGATTTTTTTTTGCTGAGTCGCGCAGTGAACAGTTAGATAGATGTGCCGCTCAAATTTTGAAGAGCAAAAGAATTTGGTTTAAATGTGGTTCAAGCTTTTTTATGGAAGAATAGCGTGGTTACCAGCTTGAATAGCTCTGACGAACTTGCTACATACCAAGTTGAGAACATTAAGAAGAGAAATAAAAATGGAAAAACTGCATAGTAATTTTTTATTTTTATTTTTAGCAGGAATCAAGTATTTTTAATTTAAATTTTGGGTTAATTTCACAAACGATCACTGAACTTAATCGAAAATCTCAAAACGGTCATTGAAGTTTAAAATTTGCAACAACGGTCATTAAACTTACGGGAACTTATGGGCGCTTTCACTAACGGTCACTGATGGACCAAAACATGTGAATTAGATCCTTGAGGACCTCAAGTGTAAATTTCATCTAAGTTCATTTGCTTAAAATCTATCCCTAAAATTTAGAAATCGAGCCAAATTCCTCCCACTTCCACCATATTTCGCTGGAGCCGAAATTTGTCAAATTCGACCACCATACCGTCGGATGAACCACCTAATTTTTACACCACCAACACTTCCTCACCCCCTTCACAATCCTATACCAACAATCAACCAAAACACATCAAAAATCACATGAAATTTAGGTTCCAAGAAACCATCCCCACCCACGGTTTTACCTCCAATTCCGGCCAATTTGAGATAAATTGGTGAGGATCCATATGTGCATCTTGTTCACCATGATGAGTAGAAGGTAGTGGTGGTGGTGGTGGGCAAGTGTAATTATTAACGTCGGCACCGAAAATTGGGGAGGAAAGTTCGTTGTCGATGCCTTCAAGCTGGTATGAGTTAGATTTTGATTTAAATTGTTTTTGTGATGGTATAGGACCATGTACCTGTTCTTCTTGGGGAGCACTAACAACCTGATGGAGTTTTGGTATGGGTGATGGTGGATTGGCCGGAATTGGAGATAAAATCGTACGTGTGTATGGTTTTTCGAACCTGAATTATGCCATGATTTTTGATATGTTTTGGTTGATTGTTGGTATAAGATTGTGGAGGGGGATGAGGAGGTGCTGGTGGTGTAAAAGTCCGATGGTTTATTAGGCAGTAGGGTGGTCGATTTTAGCTCCGAATCCATCAACGCTGGAGAAGAAAGCTGGAAAGGGAGGAAAAAATTGTCTAAAGAGTGATTTGGTCATCAAGGTTTGATTTTCACGTATTTTGGTCCTTCAAATTTGAATGAAAAGCATAATGGGCCTTCAATGACCTTTTTGAAAGAAAATGTAACTTCAATGACCGTTGCTGTAAGTTTTAAATTTCAATGATCGTTTTGAGATTTTTGGTTAAGTTCAGTAACCGTTTGTGAAATTAACCCTTTAAATTTTATTTTTATTTTAATCAAAATCTTGTCAATTGTGTCAAATTTAAATTACTCTTAGGCCATGTTTGATAGGAATTCTTTTCCATGGAAAATGGAAATCCTTTTCCAACTTCAACATTTTTGGGTGTTTCAAAGACTAATTTTCTAGGCAATTCATTTTCTTGCTTTTGCCCCACACGTGCACATTTTCTTGCTTTTTGGGAAAAATGAATTTCCATGGATATGGTGGTTTTTCAAATTTCAGCACTTTTTTCTGTTTGCAATGTAAACAAATTTTAAGAATTATTGTAAAAAAATATTTCCCTTTAATTGACAATTTCTATATAAAACAAAGCAAAACAAATACTAAAAGATAGATAATTATCTTGATTTTTTTATTTTTTTATTTTTGTAATGGAAACAAATTTCATCCCCAATACAGTAAAATTTATCCCTTTAATTGACAATTTTCATGTAAAACAAAGCCAAATGAATACCAAAAAATACTTTTATTTCAATATTTTTCACGTGAAAAATCATACCAATCAAACACAATAATTTTCAATTCCCAAGAAAATAATTTCTAGGCAATTTAATTCCCTGAAATTCGTTTTCAATTCAATCTTTACAATCAAACGGACCCTTATTCTTTGAAAATTAATTTTGAAAATATTTAAATTTTTTACTTAATTAAAATATTTGAAAAGAAAAACTGGGGAGAGTAACAAACCATCCCCTCTTCTCTCTCGTTTCGTTCAACACTTTCCCGTGTCGCCTTCTTAGTCACCATACTTCTGGAGAAATTAAATTCGTATATGTAACATAAGTCACATAAGTGAATTACATAGGTTTAATTTAGATTGGCAATAACATGACACAACGTTTGATCAAAGTTTGGTTTACTATGGTCACCACACAGAAGTTACATTTGTGATTTACAAAGGTAATACTTTCTAAACATGTTGTCTGTTGACCTCACAAATTGGACCCTTCACGTGGCCAACCGATAGCTACTCCACGTGTTCCTCCCTGCGCACAGTCAACGCACGGTCAGATGCACACGGTTGGAACCAGCGGGGTGGTAGCGGCCGCATACACTCCAACGGTCTAGTTAGCTTCAGGTGATCAGAACAATACCAATGTTGTGTAAAATAGTGGGGAGGAGTATATATATTTGCTTGTTATGGAAAGCTATATTGTAAGAGTTTCATTACCTTTGCCTCTTGTCAAACTTTGGGTATTTATAGATGAGGAGAACCGTTGCATGCGGGACACGTGTATGCATCTGGCGGTGTGAGGCGTCTGCTCATAGGCGTCAATCAGACGCGTCTATAGAGTAGGCGGACAATTACTTCTCCCTTGTTGAGTTGACATAAAGTTGATACGTCACATCAACTGGGCTCATAGAGACGTCAAATCAATTAAACCTTAGGGGTAGAAAGGATCTTGACATAGATCTCTTTCTGAAATTGACGGTGGATCCTGGCAGAGGTCCTCAGAGTGCGCCTCGATTTCAAGGATGAGGACACTTTGGTCGATTTAGTAGAATTGTCTATGCCTCAAAGTGCGTTAATAGATCGACAACATTGGTGGTGAAGTCACTTCGGATGGGTGCTGAACACCTTGTAATAGGCAGAGGTAGA